AACACTGAACCCTAAACCCCTAAAACCCTAAAACCCTAAACCCTAAACCCTAAACCCTAAGCCCTAAAACCCCAAACCCTAAACCCTAAAACCCCAAACCCCAAACCCTAAACCCCAAACCCAAAACCCTGAACCCTTAAACCCTAAAAGGCAAAACCTTCACAACCCAACCAGAGCTCGGATAATGCTTATAATGAACTTGAAAATATACATAAACCTGTAGAACCATTGCCGAGTATAGCATCATCCTTGATTTTATATATACATATCGGTTATGGAAACCACTATGCTTTAATGGAAATGAAACACCATTTTATGGATGTGCGAGTGACCATGATTTTTGTGTGCGTAGGGCCATTATGGTGGTATGTATGTGTTTATCGTGGTCTCAATGCAATGTCTGCACTATTAACAAGCGTTGGATTGCGAGGGTTACAGCCCCCCGGTTTACGCTCAACGCCGATGTTCGAAATGGGCTCTTTTCAGCCCCAGACTACTAGCCTAGCCTCCTACCCTGACAGACTTCAATCCGACTCCGTGACAAAGCCCTCTTCAACCTTGGACAAATAATCACCTACTAACCAATGAAACTCCTCTTGAACCCTGTCAGGATAAGAGTCAACCTCAACTGGGTGCCCAGCCTTCCATAAGCAGAAAAGTATCCTCCCCCTGTGGGGCACCTCCCCGCCTAAAGGCAGACTAATGACACTACCGTCGTCGGTCTGGCACCCTACTTCCTTAGTAGTCTCGGGCACGTAACTTGCCCAATTGACGCTCCTTCTCAGGATTTCCCAGATCCCGGTCCAAACCAACAACCAAAATAAAACCCATAGCGTGGACCCATCACACCATTCTCTCCCCTCATACCAGCGGTCAACAGCCTCACTGGCTACGGAGCGAACCTGGAGGACCTGTAGTTCATAGGATTCACCGGTGCCTTCTAAAAATGGTTCTGTTGAGGCCCCAGGGATCTCATGCCCCTGAACTACCCCCACAAAAACCCAACAGTACACCAAAACCCAGAACCACCACTCCACAATACCCCGCACCCTTAAGGAAGGAAATTTAAAAGAGGCATCCCCTGGACCATTGTTGCCGCTACCCGACCCCACAAGAGGTTGCTGCGCGGCAACATGCCAATCAGGCCAAATACCCGATCTCAAGCCATCTACAACCCCTTGTACAGCGTTCAGCGATCAACCTGGAAGAGGGACCCTAAACGAGTCATCCGCGTAAAACACTACCAAGGCACCCTCTTCAGCAGCGTACGTCGTAACAGGGACACCGAGGGGAATTGCCCCTAATCCAACCCGGCCTTCAGTTTCACTACCCGAAAGTTCATAGCTGTGCGATGGATCCGTTGTCGACGTTTCCTCTGACTCCTCCGAAGAACTATCCAGGCCCCTTAAACCACGATGAAACGGCCCTAATCCTACTCCTCGGAGCCCCGGCCCTCCATGCGGCCGTTGATCTACTTCTTCGTCATCACCGGGTCCATCAAAAGGGAACTCTCTACGTCCGGTTCGCCAGTAGGTTTCCGCTGCCTCATAAGTCAAACCAGTATCCGCAGTAGCCCTTGGCCCGGTAGCCTCCAGCCACCTAACTAGAGCTAAAACGACATTAGAACGGAAACCCCGGGCTACAGGCCGGAGAGCAGCCCACTCCCTTACCCGGTCTCCTAAAAAGAACAACAGCGCAGCGCCATTCATAGCGAAAAGTCTCCACAGATAGTGAATCTCGTAGGGAGGACCCCAAAGGACATAAGGAAAAACGACAACAGGACCTTGAGACTCCCCTGAAAGCATGTACTCCTCCGTAGCCTCAAACCAGTTGGGCCCGGAACACTGCACTGCATATGGTCCCCGTCGAAGTTCGTCTGCCACAGCCCCAGCAACTGCATACCTCAAAATGATCGATGCGGTCCGAAGCACCAACCAATCCTCCGACCGGTCCCCCAAAAACCCAAGAATCCTCTGGCCCTCATACGACAACAACTGCACCACGAAATGCACCGACAGCCAAGTTCCTACCAAAGGAAAATTCTCTAACTCGTTGGAGAAATCGATATAATCTTCGTAGCAAGTAGCCGGCAAAGTAGCTTGCATACCATGGCTGCCTGGACTACCACCAACTTGGATATCAAGGTGAGGCGTAGGGGGAACGCTACTCATGCTTCCTCCTTCCCCGAAGCCTGATAGAGGTAGAGGATTTGAACTGCTCGAACTCCCCCCAATCTGAACATTAGGAACCGGAGGGGTTTCCCAGCTACTCGAGCTACCCCCGACTTGGACGGGCCAATCCTCCCCTTCTTCCCCAAAAGGCCTTGACCTACCCTCGTCTACCTCGCAAGAATCAAGCCTCCATCCCTGAGACCCAAACTGAAATTCAGCACGGCCCTCAACCCCAATTGGCCTTTGAGCCGAGCCTGAGTCTTGCCAGCTAGCCAAGAGTAACAATACTAGGTTTCGGCTAAACTCTCGAGCAACACACCGCAACCTACGCCACTCTGGAACCTGGGCCCCTAGAAACACAGACAGCAACCCCCCTATCCTTATCAACACTGAAAGCAACCTCGGTCCCCTAGGAGCCAACCATCCAAGACCTTGATCTAGAGGCCCGGACCCCGTAACGGCTTGCACCGGCGTTGGGCCTTGAACCTCTGACTCACTAGGAACGTCCTCTGACTCTTGAGTAGCGTTCCCTTCGTTCCCACCTAGCCAATAGGGAATACCTCCAAAACGCTGCTGGAGAACGGGGGGATCTACTACTTGGCCTGCTGCAATCTGCTTCCTCAATCTAACCCTTTGCACGAAGGTGAGTCCAGTTCGGCGCTCTTGATCCTCTAGCTTACGTTGAGCCTCTTGCCAATCCTGAGGGTTGAAGTCCGAGGACTCGCTATCTGCTTCCTCGGATGCCCGGCCGGGTATACCCTCCGAACTTCCCTCCTCAGGAACTGCTGGAACACTGGCTCCCGGCAATCCTGTTGAACTTTCTACAAGGGCGTCATCCTCTAGAGCGGGCTCATCGGAACCTTCTGGAATACTGGCTCCCAGACCAAACCCAGCTTCCGAGTTGAACACAACACCAGTTACCTCCAGGGCCTCCCAGTCTTGCATCGCTTCAGACTCTTGATTGTGCCCAAAGGTCAACAATCCAAAAATCCCCACAAACCCTCCGTATCTCGAGGCCCAAAACAGAAACCCTCCTAGAAAGCCCAACCCCACGACTACCCAGGTCAGTACCCAATTAACCCAACTCAACGTCTCAGACACCGGATCAAAGTTCGGCTGGCCATTCACGCCAGGAATCACAGCCAATAAGGCCAGGCCTGCCAGCGCTTCCGCCGAAAGCACTCCCTTAACCCCATCTTTACTTGCCAAACGACTCAGGGCTCTAACTACCCCAACAGTCTCTCCCAAAGCCAACGGGGTTCCTATATTAATTAGACCCAGAAGCTGAAGAATCCTAGGTCTCGACAACGGTTTTGTGCCTAAGTCTGCAACCTGGAATTCCCCCGGGAGGTGAGACACCTTCAGCAACCCAGTCTCCACCCTCTCACGGCCCGCTGCAGCTCGCATCCTTAAATGCCTATTTCGCCACCCTGAAGTAGAGCACTCAAAGGCTCTTATCGCTGCTTCGTTGTCCGCAAGCAAGGAGATGACTGTATCGCTTTCCAGTAACTCGTCTAAAAGCGGCTGCACAGCTTCGACCAACTGCACTCCGTGCATCATCGATACAAGTTCGGATTCCGCTGAACTCAGCGTCGTAAAAGGCTGGCGGGTAGCCTCCCAGGCTACTGGAACACCCCTCCATACAATAAAGGTAGACTGCATAGACCTATCTCCCCCGGGACTATGGGAAGCGTCCGTGTAGAGCTCTATAGCCGAATCCGTACGCGGAATAGCCAGCAGCCCATGATCCGAAAAGGTCTTTCCCACATCAAAGGGCACTTCGATCCCAAACTCCTGAGTACCCTTCAAGTAGGCTAATGCTTGTCTTCCATACGAGATGGACCACTGCGGAGCCTTCGTTGCCTGCTGCCCACACCTTGAAACCAGATATGCCAAATCAGGTCTCGTACGCGTGGAAATCCATAGAAGGGCACCTGTAATGCCCTGAGCTTCCCGGACTTCTTCCGCGCTTGGTGGAGGACCCACCTCCGGCTCAACCCACTTGGCAATCGGCGCCGAAGTAGAATCTTCTACCCCATACCGATTCAACAGCTCCTGCACGTAGGCCCTCTGGCTCATTCGGTATCCACCACTATGCAGGGTCAGCTCGATCCCACAGAATGTCACAGGTTCCTTCCCCAACCGCTCTGGTTCTGAGGTTTTCCAATGTCCTTGCACCTCTGCAATAAACGCCTGGCAAAGCTCAACTGGGCCAAAGAAAGCCAAGTCATCGACGTATACCGCCAGTATTCCACAGATCTCACTCAAGAAACCTTCCGAGGATCTTCTGGCCAACCAGAGAGCACTGTCCGACTTGGTCTGAAACAAACTGTACTCTTGCTGCCCCCACTTCAGCTTAAACTTGGTGAACTCGTCATCTCGATACCGGCCCCAATCCCTAGGGGACGTGGGCAACCCATAGAGTGCTTTCCTGATCCACCACCGGTCACCTCTACTTAACACTCCAAGTTCAACCAGAAACCCTGGTGGTTTCACCACGATGCGCTCTTCGGTCCCCTTGGAATCACTTCTTATGGGCGCATACAGAAAAGCCGACTTAACATCGATGGTCACTCCGACCCACAGCCGATTCCGGGCTGCAAAGGTCAAAGAAACCTTCACGGACAATGACTCGGCACCCGACGCATATAGCTCTTCGCGTGTCAACCCTAGCTTATCTGTAGGCAAATGGTTCCCACAACAAACCGCCCGACATCTCCTTTTACCTGTGCCCGACTTCCTAGTCAAAACAACCTTACCTGGCAGTTGAACTACCGTCATGCCCTGACTCACCCACTCCTCGACTACACAGTCCTGCACACGGTCTACAGCCCGGTTAACGGTTTCTAAACTCAATACCTCATCTTGGGCAGGCTCCACCCATAGATTAAGCTCCTTCCTAGCCTCCGCAAGTCCTACAGTCCTCGTCTGCAAGAAGGTATCAGGGGAAGCTTCAGGACCTAAGGGCACCTCTACATCTAAAGCCTTAACGATCCCTCCTACCTCACCAACCCCACCGCAAACTGCCAGACTGCGTTCTAGCCATTCCGCAAGGAGCTCCTCACCCCTTAGCAACCTTGCTACTTCGGTAAGTATCTCTACTTCTCCGATAGCATCACAAAGCTCTGCGGTGAGCAGTCGACACTGCTTCGCTACACATCCATGCCAGTGCACAAACCGATCGTAGAGGTCATAATCCATAACCGGAACCGGAACTCCAACTTCCCAATCCCCGTCTTCTTGACCACCCAGACCCCCAAGCTCGGAATTGCACCCTTCGTCAGGGCCTACTGAAACAAACTTAAGTCCTCCCTGGGCTCTCCTGAGACCATCAACCGGGAACCCAAGATCCCTCAACTTGTCCCAGTGTTCTTCAGTGGCTTTCTTAAAATCCCGCGGTACAAACGCCGCTATTACCCAGCGCTCAGACCCTTCCCAGTCTTCAGCAGCATGCCACCTTGTCCCAGAGAACACAACCGGATCCTTCTTTAAATCAAAAACAGTACCTGCAGCTACATCTCCCCCAGGAAGAACCTTAAGCACTGGGCCATCCCCAAACTCCCCCTGAACCCATAATCCCCCTCCCGCAAAGTCCCCGAATCCGGTAACCAGCACTTGGAACTCGCTTGCATTTCTCAAATCCCTATGCATAGGAGCCTTGGTATTACGAGTCAAGTAGAGAGTGGTCCACACATGCTCAGGAGATAGTGCTGAAATATAGCCATTCAGGTATCTAACTACTTCCTCATGCTTCCCCGTGGCACTAGAAATCCCGTGGAACCCCCCTAACCCATAAAGACCAAACAAGATCGCCCTACCTTGCCGATTCAACATGGGCCTCCTCGCTAGAGGAAGTTCTGGTATCCCCTTTCTAAGAACCTCTAAACACTCTTCCGGCGAAAAGTCCTTTTCGGAAAGACCACCAAGAACCCCCTCCAAAGACCCATCAGGGAGCCCACACACCTTTGCCGAGCCAACCTCTTCCGAGAAACCCCTAGAACCCTCAATATCCCACTCATCATGCTGAACCACAAAGAAACCATCACCTTCCTTAGCCTCTTCAATCCAAGAAGTTCCAAAGCATCCCTCTGACAAGGTCGACCCTTCATCTTCAACTTCAAAAAATCCACCAGAGCACTCCCCCCCAGGTGCAACGACAACCCGGAAAGGTTCAGAGTGCAGCTGGCCCACTTCGGCCGCCGCTATCACCCTTACCACAAAATCCGGGGAGCGCTTGCCGACTAAGCGGTATTTCGGCATGGGCGACGCCTTAAGTTCCCCCCTCAGAGGATAAACTGTGTTGGTCAACAGGACCCTCTGAACCCCTTCATCATGGACTAACACTAGATGACCTCCAGGGGTGTTAGGCGCGTGCCCCAAATAGATAGCTGGAGTGGTACGCGGCTGCCACTGAGCATCAAAGCCAGTCTTAGCCCTTTTTCTTGCATGAACCTTAACCCCGAAAGGAAGCAACTGCGGTTGTGGAACGCCCACCGACTCAGCAAAGGCTATCCAATTGCGATTGGCTGCATGCAGCAAAGCTAGTGGCCAAAGCTTCTTATCCAACTCGGCTACTGCCAAAAGCTTCCGCACGAACCCCTTTAGCTGCTGAACAGCTAGCTCAGCCCGATTTCCTGCCGGGCTCTCCCCAGCGGTCCAAGTATGGTGGATTCTCTTCTCACGCAGCCAATCAACAAGCAGAGCTGAGCGGAGTTCCTTGGCTCGATCTGCATGATACCTCTGAACCGGATAACCCGAAGCCTCCAACCGATTAACAACAGCCTGGACCTGGGGAAAGACCTCCTTACCCCGCTTTGAGCGCAAAGGAACTCCGAAGAACAAGGTACGCGTGCCCTTAGGCCCTTTTTCCCCACCCTTAGCAGGGGGAAGGTCACTAGGACCCCCTTCATTCTTCGAATCTTCATTCGCCTCTGGCCTTTTTTCTCTTACCCGCCGGTCCACAACCTTAACCAACACCTCTACACCATCTCTAGACTCCGGTAGCGAAAGGTCCCCAAAGAGGTCATCCAATTCATGAGACAAACCCTCCGGCTCCCTGTCTTCAGGTATCGACGGCTCATACTCACTCCCTTCCACATCCCCCGAACCGGGACAGTAATCATTGGGGATCGCATAAGCACACGCCAGAAAGTACCTATACCCCTCCCCTTTATCCCGACCTGAAGCTACAGGATCCCATGAGCGGCCAGTTACAAACGGACCCGCCAAATCACAAGAAAGCGAGTGAACCCCTGGGTGACTTGATCGCCAGTGAGACCTTTGACGTCCTTGGGCAGTCACGCAGATAGGACAGCCCTTACGATAAGGAACGTGATCATTATCAACATGTTTAGCAAAGGATTCCGCCTCCGTCAAGCGCTTAAGATAAAGCTGGCGATCCCTGATTTCCTCTTCCTGTCCTACTTCTTTACCCCATTGGTTCCATCCGTTCCGAACAAGACCTAGCAACCGAGGTGTCCACCAACCCCCTTTACCATCATCCAGAGAACCCTGCATCAGCTTCAGACACTCCTTAACCCCACTAGAAAGCCTCACTTCATGAAGGGTCTCGTAAAGGAACCAAGACGAGGTTAACCAAACCACCCCTTCAGGCCCCTTACCTCCGAAACAACCCAAATCGAAGCTCGCTTGGTGCAACCCATACTGGTCTCCAAGCAAGGTCACCCCCGACTTAACCCAGCTAATCCCGGAAGCAGCACAGTCCCAGACTACAAACACCGGCTCGGCTACTCTCCTAGCCTCCTCAACACCGCTTCCCTTCTGGGTTAATCGGGCCGCAGCCTTCCTTAGAGCCCACAGAGCAATCTGATGCGCATCCTCAAGATCAGTAGGGAAGTCCTCTAACTCCGGTTCCACTTTCGAGCTTGAGACCTTGGTCCTCTCGCCATCGAGAGGGCCCCTAAAATGCGCATCACGAACAGCTTGAGCGGCTCCAAACAACACAGCACCCCTGAGCCACAGCATACTCTGGGCTAAGCCCGGTTCCTGACCCTCGAACCCACAGTCAGGACCCTTAACTATACCCCCAATAACTCCTAGCTCTGCCCAACTCAGCAGCTGTCGAAAAACACTCTCGGATCTCAGACCTTCACCCGCCTTTGGCGGCGAAATGACTCGTCCAAAACCCTTCCATCCGGTCCGCTCTCCCGACAAGTTAACCAACACTGATCCAGCCTTCGCCCTCAAAACAGACCTCCTTAGCCGCCTGTTCCAAGGACTGCTGACATCTACCTCAACCTCCTCCCTAGGAACGCTAGCCCTACACAGAAGTTCTAAAGGGGCTTGCGGAAACACAGACCGCAGAAACCTTACCTGCTCTTCTCGATTCAGTGCCCTTTCCTTACTCAGCCCTAAAGAGGATAGCCATGCCCTAGGATCATCAACACTCGGAAGTTCCTGAATATCCTCCAGTCTTAAGCCCCCTATTCGAGGGTCCCGGGACTTCTTACTCTCATACTCGCCCAACAGGCCCAAACCCACTTCCCTCGGTATCAGAGGGCGTCCCTTTACAACAGTAACCTCCAAGCGACCCTTAGCCGGATGACTAATGCGGCAACCCTTCTTCCTCCAAGTAATCGAAAAACCCAACTCTACCAGATAAGCCGCTGGTATGATCACTTGACACGGTCCAGGATGCAACAAAGTCCCACACTCATTTATCCGAAGCTCAGCGGTCCCTGAGGCTAAGTCCACCCTGATAGACTTACCCTTGGTCAATTCCGCAGGATCTGCCGGCCGCAGAGCATTAGTAGCTCCAGAGTCAACCAGTGCATAATTGCAGTCCGACACACAAGTCACAACTGACTGAAGCCAAGATAGATCCAACCGATCCTCCAGCACTGAATCCTCCAAGGAACCAACCCTCAACGGCTTCAGAGAAACCCCCTTTAACAGCTTCGCTGCTTCAGCTAGCAAAGCTTCCTGGCTCCCCTGACCATGATTCGGCTGAACCGAGCCCTTCGAAGAATCACCACTAACTACCCCGGCTTCCTCGGTAATCCCTTTAGCCTGAGCCCCGGCTTTAGCCTTTGCCTTGCCCTTGCCACCCTTTTCTCCATGTGCTCCCGCCTTCGGCGAGGACTCCTGGGATGATTGCCCTTGGATCACCCGGTTCTCCGGGGCTACTAACGAGCAGTCTGGCCTAATATGCCCTGCTTGTCCACAAGCAAGGCACCTATTCTCTCTACGCGCCCGTGCCCTGTCATGCTTAAACCGACAGCTATCGCCAAACCTACATCCCGAAGCATCCGAGAACTTGTGACACATCAACTCGCCTTGCTCCCCCCCTTTTCCTTTTCCCTTTCCTTTAGCGGGAGCTTCCCCCGCACCTGTCTGGACCTGGGCTACGGTAGGGTTAGGGTTAGGTGGAGGAGCAACCGGCGGAGGCGGAGGCGTGGCCTTGGTCGACGGCTGCTCTCGAGCAGCCTGCAACGCAGCTGCCTTAGTGCGCTTATCACCCGATGGCTCAATGAGTGCCGACGCTTCCGACTCCGCGAGAATCAATTTGACCAACGAAGTAACAGAGGAAACCGTTGGATTATAATCAACCGCCATCTGGTGACGGTAAGCGTTCACTCTGAACCCCACCATCGGATTGGCTACTAACAGCGCACTGGTCGCAGAGTCCAGACCCTTCAATAGCAACGACGGATCGGGTAATGTGGCATGAATCTCAGAAGCCCTTTGGAGACTCTGCAGCCATCTTCTCAGCCCTTTAAGAGCCTCTGGAAATGTACGGCACACCTCTGGACTCACAAGCTGACTAAGTAAATGAGCTCTCTCTGAGCTTCCCCCTGGCTGGAAGAGACACAGAATCCGGAACAAAATAGCCGTGGAAGTTAGCCAACGATTGGTCACCACATCATCTCTCACAGCCTGGGGTATTGAGGCTAACAGCAAGCTGACTGCTCTACTCTCTACCCGGGAGAACAGGATGCCGTCAAACTCTCCCTTTACAGATGAGGGGTCAATGCTTAACCTTCCTAGAGGGTCAGCTACAATCCATTTCTGATAAGCCATCGTAGCAGGGCCTTCTACACCTTGCCACCATAGATTAGCGCTAGGCGACAGTCCAACCAAAACTTGCCGCACCTGAGCTAGCCAATTGCCGCATACAACGGCACTACTTGCGAGGTCCGCTTGGATGAGCTTGGGTAGTTCTGAGATATACTTAGCAGGCTCCTCAGGCCTAATTTGGGACCCCGAAGCAGCCCCGGCTACGGCTCCCGAAACCGAGGATCCTCCCGTACCAAAGCAACCACCCGCAAACCCTCCAGGCCTTCTTAAACCGAAATCCTCCTGCCCCGAAGCTCCCCAACCCTGAGGCGCAACCGAACGAGGTGACAATGGCGGAGGACCGGGCGGGGGCCTTATAACCGTACCACCGGGAGATACCGGATAACCTGGTTCGACAACGCTCCTAGGTGTAACGAACCCATCCCTTGACTCCCCATTGCCTGCAAGAATCTCCTCCGCAAACTGTCTCATCGAACGCGGCGGTGTTGTCTCTTCCGAGACAACATGACGATCTGTAATGGGAAGCGGTACTGGAGGGGGCTTAGGGGTCCACTCCGGAGGGGAAAATCCTACACTCCATCCCGGCCAACCCTGTACATCCCCAACACCCAGCCCACTCCCTTGATCTAGATCAGCACTAGCAAACCCTGGGGGGCCTGTTGCAGACGACGGTTGGGGCCTTGCTCCAAACAGTGGCGAATGTTGACCAGGGACCACTGAACCTACAGTTCCTCCCCATCCGGAAAACGATCCAAAGGGAACCGGGAAATCCCGCGGAACTAAACCCTCTGCAGCCTGTACACTACCCAACGGAGGCATAGCCTCGTAGTGCCGGCCCACAGCAAAGGAAGCAGGAGATGCTGGAAATCCATTACGAGTACTGTGCCAGCTAGAGTGCGACTCCGTCTGCAATCGCCGCATTCTCCTCAATAACCTGCCCTAACAGGAATTCCAGCCTCTCCAGCCTACTCCCTTTATCAGGTACCAGCTCACACTCATCCCCAGCTTCATTAACGGCTCCTTGAACCTCAGCTCCTTCCAGGGACGGGCTTCCCGGACCCGCTGTAGACGAAGTCGGTCCACTGCTCTGCTGCATAGCCTTCCCAACACCAGTCAAGGGTTTTGGTAAAGCTCCTCCCGCCTCGCTCACCAGTCCAGGTGCCTCAACCTCGGTGGCCTCCACTCTGGCAACGCGGGGCCCCTCCTCAGCTCTTCTTTCCTCTTGATTCGCCTCGTAGTTCGGCTCCAGGCCCATTCTCGGTCCAACCGAGTCACCTAAAGCCGTCTCGTCGAGTTCCTTCTTCACTCTTGACCCTTCATCATCCAGAAGCAAGGGCCGAGAGCGGATTAATTCCACTTCCGCATGGACCCTTTCACTATGAAAGGGACTAGCCACCGGGAGAGGACCTCCTGAGGCCCTACTGGTTGCCCCACCTGCCTCCAAAGTTCCAGGCGACGCCTCTCCGCCACCAGCCCCTTCAGCTACGGCACGGGCACCCCCTACTTGACCCAAGGCTGTTTGGTACATAACATCATCTTCAGCAGCTAGCTGTTCTGACTCCTCAGGCTGCAGGGACCTCCTTCTTCTCCGAACAGCATCCATGGGGCCCGGGATTACAAAACAGACTACCACTGCTCCTAGAACCTTTCGACCACCTAGCCCTAGAACTTACGGCTGATAACCTACGTAAAGATAACCCAAGAATGAGGATGGTAAAAGTCTGACCACTGCAGAACCTAGATCACCACACGAGCGACTATTTTTTCGAACAAAAACAGCCTCCGTTGATACACACATGTGGCCCAGTCTTCACTGCGGTGTTCTCTATGCGCAGGGTTATCCTAGCGTAGATGTCACTTCCTAAAGCCCTAAAGCCCTAAACCCTAAACTGGGCTCTCTGGGTCCCCACCTGTAGTTGCCTCTAAGTTGGTATAGGACATCGTGGAGCCGGACGCCGCACTGCTGTCCTTGGACGCAACAGAGGAAGAGCTGATGGCCACTCTCCTCTCCAAGCCCACAAACTGGGTCTTCGGGGATTTTGAGATTTAGGGTTTAGGGTTTAAGCTGGGTCTTCAGGGATTTGGAGATTTAGGGTTTAGGGGTTTAGGGTTTAGGGTTTAAGCTCGGTCTTCAGGGGTTTTGAGATTTATGGTTTAGGGTTTAGAGGTTTCAGATTTAGGGTTTAGAAGTTTTAGGGCAATTGGTTTTCGGGTTGTGGGGGTTTGGTGTCTGCTTCGGGTTGTGGGGGTTTGGTGTCTTCTTTGGGCTGTTCAGATATGTTTTGCCAGGGCTTGAAAGGGTTGCATATGTTTTGGTGAGGGCACTTATGGGCGTTCATAGGCTTGCATGGTGACTTGGTTAGTATATAAGGCGCTCAGGTGCTTCATGTGTTTTTGGTGCTTATGTTGTTTGCTAGAAGGGTTAGGGTTTAGGGTTTAGGTTTATGGGCGACAAGCAGCTAGAACTAGGGATACCTTGCTTATGAATCTACCTACTTGATCCCCTCAGCTCTAACCACACCCGAAGCCCCAAACCCTTTGTAGGAACCCTGGAAAAACACCAAGTACCTTACACCTCACCCAGCTTCCTAAGTCATGTTAAAAAGTGGGGGGGGTAAATGATTACCAATACTATTTTGCGGGCTCCTTATTATAAGTACAGTATAATTTACTCCCCCCTTCCCAAAAAAAAACAAAACAAGAGTATTAATTTATTAACGCCCCTATACCCTAAACCCTTATGGTAGCCCTTATAGAACCCTTGAGAAGGAACCCCCAAGACCCTATAGTAATTGTTAAGGCCCCTCTATTGCAAGGCTTCTCATACCAGGCTTCTACAGGTTTCCGAGCTTTAAGCTTGTTTGGTTTCTCCTGAGGGTCCAGAAATCTAGGGCCTTGGGGTTTCTAGTGTAGTGTTTTGGGTTTCTTGCTTTTTTTAGGAGTTTAGGGTTTAGGTGTGCTGATAGTTTTGGTATTGCTGTGACAGATTAGCCGCGGTGAGCCTTTGGGCGTAAGGAATGGCACACCAACTACTACGGACGCAACCCGGGCGCAGATATCTCCGTCACCAACTACCAGAGCCTTGGTAGCCGAGTTGAGTAGGTCCCTAAACCCTAAACCCTAATCCCCAAACCCTAACACTTGAGGAACCTTGTGGGGTGTATGACTCTGCAATCTATGTAGCACCGTATATTATATGACCCATGCAAAAGCTCAATAAAACTTTGTGAAACCTGATAGTTGCAACAACCCCTAAACCCCAAACCTTGCACCGTAACCCGAAAGCCTAAGTAGACATGTCGCCTGTTTTGCAACCCCCCAAATCCTAATTTATACCGCCCCAAAAAATCTTCTTGGCAAGCCCCATAAAACCTCCCGGCCCCTAGAACTCAGAAGCCTGATGCTCCTTATCCCTGTGCCCCAAGGAGTAGGAGCCTTAAGCAAGGAACAATAGGGTTTAGGGGTTTAGGGGTTTAGGGGTTTAGGGGTTTAGGGTTTCTAAATCTAAACCCTGACAGAAAACATATGGAGGCCGATGCTCAACATTCGACCCGAAACCCACAAAAGTTACGCAGAACAGGAGCTCAAAATACCCCAAACCCAAAAGCAAGCAGAAGGAGCTAAAGAAGCAGAGTGAGCTTGATGTTCAACACTAAACCCGGAGCTTGAAACTTAACATTAAAGCCCTAAGCCCTATAAAAGCAGGCAGAAAGAGCCTGATGCTCAACATCGAAAACCTAACAAGAAGCATAAGGAGGCCGATACTCAACGCTAAACCCTAGACCCTCAAAAGAAGCAGAAGGAGCCTGATGCTCAACATCAGATCCTTAAACCATTAAGCGAAGCAGCAGGAGCCTGATGCTCAACATTATAAAACCCTGAAGCCAAAATAGCAGCAGGCACCTCATGCTCAACATTAAAGCGTTAGACCCTAAAAAGAACCCAGAGAGCCCAATACCCGTTAAATAAGGAGTATACCTGAAACTATACGGGCCTGAATATGATGATTTAAGGTATATTCCTCAATTAAGGGGTATTGGGCTCTCTGGGAAGCAGCAGGAGCCTGATGCTCAACATTAAAGCCCTAAACCCCGCAAAAGAAGCAGAACCCGACGCCCTGAACCCCAAACCCCAAAAAAGAAGCAGCAGCCTAAACCCTAAACCCTAAACCCTAACCCTAAACCCTATACCCTAAACCCCACAGGAGCCTGATGCTCAACATTAGCGCTCAGCAGAAGGCGATCTTGGCTCTTTGGAACCGGAGTGTCGAGCTGGAGAAGGAAGTCCAGGAATTGGTCCAGAAGGTGGTCTCTTCTTTAGGGTTTGGGGTTTAGGGTTTAGGGTTTAGGGTTTAGGGTTTAGGGTTTAGGGTGTAGGGTTTAGGGTTTAGGGTTTAGGGTTTAGGGTTAAGGGTTGTCTTTTCTTCCCAGAGAGCTTAACTTACCCCTTAATTAAGGGATCGACCTTCATAAGATTAAGGAATTGGTCCAGAAGGTGGTCTGTTCTTTAGGGTTTAGGGTGAAGGGTTAAGGGTTGTAATTGCCCAGAGAGCCCAATACCCCTTAATTCAGGAATCTACCCTAAAACATCATATTAAGGCTCCTATAGTTTAAGGTCTATTCCTTATCTAAGGGGTATTGGGCTCTCTGGGTTGGAGGGCTTAGGGTTGAGGGTTTAGGGATCCTTTATGGGTTCAGGGTTCCTTGGAAGAGATCCGTGAGGGCTTTAGGGTTTATTTTAGGGTTTAGGGGTTTAGGGGTTTAGGGGTTTAGGGGTTTAGTGGTTTAGGGTTTAGGGTTTAGGGACGAGGACGTTACGATCTAGCCTTTAGCAGAGGCTCCATAATGTGGGTAGTTCTCCAAATTAGGGTCCTTATTTCGGGACCCCAAATAGTACGGCACCCTTAAAGAATAGACGCGAAAAGGGACCCTGAATCTGAGAACTACCCAGTTCTGGCAGCCTTTGGATGGGCCTCCCGTGTTTCCTGATTCTTTGTCTGCCTAAGCCCTTACTTGGAGGATCATGGGACTTAGTAACTACAGTTATAAATAAGGTAACTATACTTGCCTTATACACCCTAAACCCAAACCCTAAACCCCAAACCCCAAACCCTAAACCCCAAACCCTAAACCTTACTCCCTAAGCCCTAAACTCCAAACCCTAAACCCTAAACCCTTACTTACTAAGTCCCATGATCCTCCAAGTAACCTCGTTTCTGTTAACCTTCAGCCGCAAAGCCTACACTCGAAGTCCACTACTAACGGGTTTAGGGTTTAGGGTACTACCCCTAATCAGGCCTTAAAGAGCCCTAAACCCCAAGTCCCAAGCAATTAAAACCTTATAAAGCCCCAAACCGTGCAACGTAGGGGCCTAAACCATTACCTATAATATGGTGTTTGGGCTGCTTATTATAATCATAGTATAAGGGGCCCCAAAACCCCATTCTAATGATTAAGGCCCCTAAACCCCAAACCCTTATAGCAGCCCTTATAGTAGCCCTTATAGACCCTTTCTAAGAACCCTTTAAAAGAAACTCATTCTAATGATTAAGGCCCCTAAACCCCAAACCCTTATAGTAGCCCTTATAGTAGCCCTTATAGACCCTTTGTAAGAACCCTTTAAAAGAAACCCCATTCTAATGATTAAGGCCCCTAAACCCCAAACCCTTATAGTAGCCCTTATAGTAGCCCTTATAGACCCTTTGTAAGAACCCTTTTAAAGAAACCCCATTCTAATGATTAATCCCTAAACCCTAAACCCTAAACCCTAAACCCTAAACCTATTAAGGCCCCTATATCGCCTATATCAGGTGGAGCACGACTCTGGGCTGAAAGTCGCAGATTACATTGCTCTTGTGGAAGAGGCGGTTTCGGGTTTTGGGTTTGTAGGCATAATTTATAGGGTGTAGGGTTTTAGGGTTTAGGGCTTTAGGGTTTTAGGGTTTAGGGTTTAGGGTTTAGGGTTTAGGGTTTAGGGTTTGGGAAGAGGCGGACACGTCGCGAGACCGCGCTCAAGGCGACAATCAGCCGAGAGAG